ATGGCCGCTGCGGCCGGTGCACCGCGCTGATCCGATGGCAGGAGCCAGGTGCTTATCCTGGTCTCCCATGGGGTGCAGGGCCCAAGCATTTGGGCCATCCTCCACTGCACTCCCTGGCCACAGCAGAGAGCTGGCCTGGAAGAGGGGCAACCGGGACAGAATCCGGCGCCCTGACTGGGACTAGAACCTGGTGTGCCGGCGCCGCAAGGCGGAGGATTAGCGTAGTGAGCTGCGGCGCCGGCCTCACTACTAATATATATATATAAGACACACTGTTCCTGCAGCTCCTCTTCGGGGTATTCCTGCTACGGCTTGGATATGGCTGGGTATGATTTGACCCCAAAGGCTCACGTACTGGAAGCCGGGTCCCGGGTGTGATGATGCTGGGGTGGTGGGAGTTTCAGAGGCGCAGCCTCCCAGGAGCTCAGTGCATCACTGGGCGCTGCTCTAGGAGGCGTTGACGCTGCGCTTGCGGAGTTCGTTCGCGTGAAAGCCAGTTACAGAGTGTGACCACCCCCGAGTGCCCCGGCGTCCTACCCCTACCTGCGATCTCTCCTTCTTGTCTGTGTTCCCGCTGTGGTGCCATCTGCCACGCTGTGATGTAACCAAGGGCAGGAAGGTCTCTTAACAGAGCAGATGGATGCTGGGGCTGTGAACTTGAATCTGCAGAACTGCAGGCTACGTAGACCTCTTTTCTTGATAAAGTGCCCAACCTCAGGCATTTTGTTATAGCAACAGAAAGTCGACCCAGGCAGTGTCCCACCTATTCCCAGGAGATTGGTTCTCTGAGCAAAGGATTTTATGGAGCTTGTGGCCCAGGGTTCTACCTACTGCCCACAGGTCTCCTTGGGGAGCTCAGATGGGCACGTTCACAAAAATTGGGCAGAGAGTTGTGGTGGAGACTGCAGCATCCCAGAGAGTGAGCCCTGCTGGGCACAGACAGGCACGTGCTCTGCCTATTAGTCACTGACACCGATGAGTTGCACCGGTTCAGAGCCAGAGATGAATTAAGTCAGCTACAGCCACTTCCGAAAAGCTTAGCTATGCAGCACTGAGCAAATCCCCAACCAGGGCAAATGGGCAGGAACTCAGTTGCATGAGGCGGGGGAAGGGACCTGGCCTCTGTGAGAACCTGTCGGGCGCCTGAAGTCTACAGACCCTTTCTGTTCACGGGTACCTGTTGGCCAGCTGTGTGCCTGGTCCCTTCCCAGGTCGCAGACCCTCAAGCCCTGGACTGGCACCACAGTGAGAAGGCCGGCCCCCTCCACGGTGCAGACACTCAGTTTGGTATCTCCAGGGAAATCCCAGGATCCCTATGGCCAAGGCACTGGTATTTTTTTTTATAAAAAAATTATCTATTTATTTATTTGGAAGGTAGAGTTACAAAGAGAGAGAGAGCGAGCGAGCTTAGGAGAGATAGAGGTCTGGCCTCAATGGCTGGGGCTGGGCCAGACTGAAGCCAGAAGCCAAGAACTTCATCCGGGTCTCCTACGTGGGTGACTTGGGCCATCGTCTGCTGCTTTCCCAGGTGCATTAGCAGGGCGCCGGATCAGAAGTAGAGCGGCGGGGGCTCGAACCGCTGCTCATGTGGAATGCCAACTTTGTCACAATGCTGGCCCCCCGCCAAGGCACCATTTGAAGAGCTAGAAGCAGGCACTCAATGCCCTGTGACCTGCCTTTGTCCGAAATACAGAATCTCAGCCAAGACCCCCAGGCCACTGGGGCAGATGTCAACTGATTTCACACTCACGGTTGGCCCGTGGAGTAGCTCCCCCATTTGACAGATGAGAAAACTGAGGTTGTAGGTTCATGAGAAAGGTACCTCCCTGGGCTGCCTCCTCTCAGTGCCCCCAGACCAGTGTCTTCCCTTGGGCCTGCAGCATCAGGAAATTGGCTAGAAATCTGATACTCCAGGACAAGGCTCGGCATGGAGCCTCTGGGATCAAAGCCATACCCTTGACCTGTGAGGGGGGAGGGGACCCAGGCAGCCGAGGACCAGTACCAGAAACCCCTTAGTAGTGGTGGGGAGCCACATGGGATTCACTCGAGAGGTGGGCAGAGGCTGCAAAGCCACAGCCTGACTCTGGACTGGAGCTCTGCAAACACTGTTAGCTGGTGGCTGCTGTCACCAATGTGGGGACACACAGAGGCAGCAGAGGGCTCCAGCATCAGATTCCTGGGCCCACACCCCAGCCAGCCCTCGCCAGCCATGCGGCCCAGGAGCCACTCGTCTCCATCAGCTGTTCCAGGAAGATGGGAGTAGCAGTGCTCGCCCTGGGTGACCTCTGGATTGATTCCAGACGAGGCTAAGAGCCAGGAATACAGTACCAGGTCGGCAAGCAGGAACTTTCCCGGGTAGCTGGAGTAGAAAGCAACGTCAGTGCCAATGCTATTACTCCCACTGTATGGAAGACAGACCTTGAGGCCCAGGAGGAAGCAAAGTGGCCACAATTAAAGAGACTCGGCTCCTGAGACAGCAAGCCCCTGCAACTATCCCCGTAGCCAGGGATGGACCCCACCCACATGCTCCCACCTCCGAGGGCTGCAGGCCTAATTCATGCCTGGGAACTGCAGGTTCCCTAGCAAGAAAGTGCCCGCTAATCCAGTACGACAGTTAGCAGCTGGCTGTCTGCTTTGTGGATGTCATTTCTCGTAAAGCCAGCATCGGAGGGCAAACATGCTCTCTGGCTTTCACGTTGCTCCAGTGGACAAAGGCATCTTGGCGTGGCTCTGGCAGCCCCCATGGAGTGTGAGGAGAGGAGCACGGCTGTGAGCGCACAGAGAGGGGGCTGGAGGCAACCTGGCTGGAGCAGGTGCCTGGGCCCTCACGTGGGTAAATGCAGACACAGATGTGCGCCTCCCTGGGTGGAGCCCTGACACAGTCATCGCTTAGCACACATAGTTCTCTCTTTGTCCCAAGCCCTGCTCTCGCTATTTCCCAAGCACTAATTCTTTTATTTTCTTTCCTTTTTTAAAGATGTATTTATTTGAAAGTCAGAGTTACAGAGAGAGAGAGGAAGAGACCAATGGGGGGGGGGGGGAGAGAATCTTCCAGGTCTCCCATGAGAGTGCAGAGACCCAAGCACTTGGGCCACCTTCCACTGGTTTTTGTTTTGTTTTGTTTTATTTTGTTTTGTTTTGTTTTGTTTTGTTTTGTTTTTGCCAGGCACATTAGCAGGGAGAGCAGGGAGCTTGATTGGAAATGGAGCAGCGGGGACTTGAACTGGCACACACATGGGATGCTAGCAATGCAGGCAGCAGCTTTATCCACTTTGTCACAATGCCAGCCCCCAAGTACCAATTTTTATAGTGCTTGTAAAAGCCCCACAGAGGGCCAGCGCTGTGGCTCACTTGGCTAATCCTCTGCCTGCGGCGCCGGCACCCCGGGTTCTAGTCCCAGTTGCTCCTCTTCCAGTCCAGATCTTTGCTGTGGCCCTGGAAGAACAGTGGAGGATGGCCCAGGTGCTTGGGTCCCTGCACCCGCATGGGAGGAAGCACCCGACTCCTGGCTTCGGATCGGCGCAGCGCTGCCGTAGTGGCTATTAGGGGAGTGAACCAATGGAAGGAAGACCTTTGTCTCTGTCTCTCTCTCACTGTCTATAACTCTACCTATCAAATAATAATAAAAAAAAGCCCCACAGAATACTATTATTCTTTCTGTTTCACAGATAAGGAAATGGAATATTGAAAAATTAAGTGATTTATCTATAGCTGAACCAGAATTTGAACCCAGGCCGTTGGCTGCTGGGATGGAGTTGATGACAGGCTTCCTGGGGTAGGCACTGCGGTGCAGTGGGTTAAGCTGCTCATGATGGAGCACTGGTTCTGGTCCCAGCTGCTCCACTTCCAATTCAGTTCCCTGCTAATGAGCCTGGGAGGCAGCAGATGATGGCTCAAGGGTGGGTCCCTGGCACCCATGTGGGTGACTTGAATAGAGCTCCTGGCTCCTGGCTTCAGCCTGGCCCAGCCCCCACTGTTGCAGCCATTTGTGGAGTGAACCAGAGGATAGAAGATCTCTCTCTCTCTTCTCTCTCTCTCTCCTGCTCTCTCTCTCTCTCTCTTTCCTGCTCTCTTTCACTCTCTGTTACTCTGGTCTTCAAATAAATAAACCTTTTTAAAAAATAACGGGCTTCCTTTGGCGGGAACAGAAATGAGTAGTCAAGCCATCTGCAGTTTGAGTTGAGCAAAGCTGAGCCTGAAGGGATTGGAGCAAGGCCAAGCAGAGGTCAGAGTCAGGACTGCAGACGGAGGAGGGGACAGAGGAAGTCCTGCCTGGCCTATGGGTCAGCAAGGCAGTCGTGAGTAACACTGGCTGGGAGCCAGGCTCGTGGCCCTCCCGGGAAGCGAGAGTTACTGTCCCCTTGTACGGCCATAGCAACTGGGGTCCCCAAAGTGCAGGGCGGGGACTCAGGCCCATCCACACCCCCACACTCTTCATTGCACAGACCTGGGCGGACATTTTTCTTGTCATTACTCCATAAACAACATGGTTAACTGTTCACATTGTATCAAGTATTGCAAGTAGCCTGGAGGTGATTTAAAGCCTACGGGAGATGTGCTTAGGTTACCTGCAAATACCCCAGCAGTTTGTAGAAGAGAATGGAGCACCCTTGGATTTTGTATCCTCGGGGCCTGGGGTGTGGGGCTGGGGTCCTGGGATCCACCCCTGAGTGGTGACTGTCCCCGTGTGTGTCGCTGTCTAGGCTGGCACCTCATGCATGGCAGCTGACTCCATCTAGAAGAGCTAGACTCACATGTCTGTGACACACAGGGCCCCATGTCACCCCTCTGTCCCCCTGACACTCGAAAGCCCACCTGGCCAGAGGGAAGGCAGGTGGACACCCCAGACCGGGCAGGACTTGCCTTCCGTGCCTTATGCCGGACAGTCCTGGCCTGCTGTGTGCCTACCCCACTGCACCTGGGAGCCTGCCCCTCTGCCGTGCGGGGGTCCTGCCCCAGCCATCTCATACCCTCTGTGTTTATGTCTACTTCCATTTCAGGGATTTATTTCCCTACAAGGGACCCAGGTGACGGAACTTCTTCCTGGCCCCGAGGACCCAGGAAAACACCTCTTCGAGATCAGCCCAGGTAGGAGTGAGCACCTTTGAGCTCTGTGCTGGGGGGTGGAGGTTGGACGGGGGGGCCGGTGGGCAGGTCACTGTCTTCCGCCCTGCAGGAGTGCCAGTGCTGGCTCCAAGCACAACCCAGAAACGGGGGCCAAGCTTGGCGGATACGAAAAATTGGGAGATGGGGGTGCTTTTAAAAACTGGTCGCCTGGATAATTCACTTGTGTTTGCAAGGAAAATCTGGATTTTCTAAAATCACAGTAAGCACAGGAGGAAAGCAGTCACCGCAGACATCATAACCAAACAGCACCTGGATGCACTCCCAAGTCCCGAGAAAAACGCCAGTGCCGATGCAGAACGCTGAAGCGGGCGGACGGCGAGTCCCAGACAGAGTTAGGATGTAGGGGAAGGAAGGGAAGTCATTTAGCCCAGAGAAGTGCGACCCTGTTGGCAGCTCTGAAGCAATTCTTTAAAGTTCTGAGCTCCCCCGTGGTGGCTGCTGAACTGGAGTTAAAGTGCCCGGCGGGTGAGCCCACCCACCTACAGCACAGCAGGGCCCCACCCCGCAGCCAGGCAGGTGTCATTTAGCTTGGTGGCCCCAGAAGCGGAGCCTGAGGCAGGCATCTAGGCTGCTTAGTGGGAGATCTGGAAACCATGGGGAAGGGCACAGGGTGGGGGCCCGCCAGCAGGGGGTGCTAGCGAGCAGACGGCAGCGTGGATGCCCAGGTTCAGGTTCAAGGGGTGCTGCTGAGGCAGTGCAGGCCTCCGTGGTCTCAGCCGAGGAGTTGGGGGGCCTGGGAATAGACTCCTCAACCGCCCACCAGCCAGCCACTGAAAGCCACTCCCTGGAGAAGTAACTCTGGCATGTCTGGCCTGCCTGGCACACGGACCAAACTCCCCGAGGGCAGAGAAGGCCTTCAGGGACGGCTGCAGATGCCAGAGAGGAGGTCTGGCAGCCAGTGGCCAGGGCGTCCGGGCAGCGTGGGTGCAGCGGCTGGGAACCACGTGTGCTAGGGCCTTCCCGGACAGAGCAGTGTGGCCACCACTTCCGTGCTGACCACCAAAGCATGGGGCAGCCCAGGCTCAGGCCAGCAAGCCAGGCTGTTGGGAGCAGCAGCGAGAGAATCCGGGCCTGGGGCGGGGCCTTGCCCGCCTTGCCCTGTCTGTGCCCTGTCTGTGATGGACATTGCAGAAGGCACAGGCTGAAGGGGACGCAGGAGCACACTCCCCAGCTGCGTGTCTCTGGGATTCCACTCTGGTCTTCCTTTATATCTGTTGTGTGCTGAAAGCGCATATTTGACTGTGGAAACAGAGGGATGTGGAGAGGACAGTCTGCAGTGTCAGCATCCCATATGGGCATGGGTTCAAGACCAGACTGCTCCACTTCTTTTATTTTTTTGGTTAAGATTTATTTACTTATTTGAAGAGTTACAGAGAGAGAGAGGGAGAAAGAGAGATCTTCCATTTGTTTGTTTACTCCCCAGATAGGCCAGGCCAAAGCCAGGAGCCAGGAGCTTCATCCAGGTCTCCCATGTGGTTGCAGGGGCCCAAGGACTTGGGCCATCTTCTGCTGCTTTCCCAGGATGTTAGCAGGGAGCTGGATTGGAAGTGGAGCAGCCGGGACTCGAACCAATGCCCACGTGGGATGCTGGCGTTGCAGGCAGCACCTTTACCCGCTACGCCACAGCACTGGCCCTGGGCTGGCTCCACTTTCAATCTAGTTCCCTGTTAATGTGTCTCAAAAGGCAGCAGAAGATGGCCCAAGTGCCTGGGCCTGTGCCACCCGTGTAGGAGACACAGCTGGAGTTCCAGGTGCCTGGTTCCAGCCTGGCCCAGCCCTGGCTATTGCAGCTATTTGGGGAGTGAACCAGATGGACGATTCTCTCTCTCTCTCTCTTTCTCATCCTCTCTCTTTGTCACTCTGCCTTTCAAATAAATAAATTTCGGATGTGAGGGCGATCTGGCTGCGACATCTGTCACCCCATTGATCGCCAGGGTTGATTCGGCTGATCTGGCTGGCTAGGCGGGTGTCCCCTTCCTCCCTCACCGCTCCATGTGCGTCCCTCCCGAAGCTGCGCGCTCGGTCGAAGAGGACGACCATCCCCGCTAGAGGAGGACCGGTCTTCGGTCAAGGGTATACGAGTAGCTGCGCTCCCCTGCTAGAACCTCCAAACAAGCTCTCAAATAAATAAATTTCTATGAAACAAAAAGAAATGAAGGGCAGCAGGGTGGGCAGGGCCCTTGTGGTCTGCAGGAGGAGGGGGCGGGGCATGTGGGGAGGGGATGGTGAGGCCAGGTTGGAACCGGAAGATGGAGGCCACCAGGCACCCAGCCATAGGTACCGCAGCGTAGTGAGCCTGTGCCCCAAGGACAGGACCGTCACCCTGCACATGCTCAGTACCTGGAGCAGCACCTTCTACAGGCGTTGTCTCTGACTCTGGGGCCGGGGAAGGGGAGACGTAGCCGTAACATGTTCATAGGTTCCCGGATGCTGTTGGGGACACCCTTGTGGCCACCACGTGCCTGCCCCGTGCTCCAACATCCCTCTAAGGTAGGCTGTATGTTCTCACCCGTTTTACAAGCACAGACACTGGGGATTCAGAATAAGCTCCTTGCCCGGGAACAAACAGCTGCATGGGGATGGCGCTCCCTCCTTGTCTTAGTCCGCCTTCCGTCGCGGTCACCGAATCCCACTGTTGGACGTTTTATTCGGCTGGCCAAATCGGAGGCTCGGAAGGCCAAGGCTGGGGGACTGCGTCCGGGGAGGGCCTTCTTGCAGGCGGGGACTCTGTCCTGCAGGGCGCCACACAGTGAGAGGGGCACAGCCAGGAGACAGCCGGCCTTGCTTTGGGAACAGACCCACCACCCTTGGGATGACCCATGAACCCAAAAGGCTCCAAAAGCGGAGCCTTCAAGGCCCGCTCACCTCCGAGTACCTCGCCATGAGGGTGGCGTTTCACGCTGAGTCTTGACGGGGAACACAGCAGGTGCAACCCAGCAGCCCCCAGGCCTGAGCCCATTCTAGCATCTTTCCCACCCTGCTGGGGTGGTCCCCGGGCTTGGCTCCTGGAAGGAAAGCTCTCAAGGCCCCGCCTCGCCCCAAACACAGCACCCGTGGCCTGGCGAAGTGCCAGGTTCCTGCAAAGCCCCGGGGCTGCCCACCTCTGCCCTCCTGCTTCCCATACGAAGCCGCCCCTGAGGGTCATGGGCAGGGCCTGCAGCTGCCCAGGGAGAGCAGGCCGGCGGTGGTCAGGGAGGAGTCTGGCCGCCTCCGAGGAGCGCAGGGCCAACTCTATCCCCTCCCTCCAGGGGCTCCAGATTCTAGATGCTTCCTATCAGCCCAGTCAAGGGCACCTGAGGCTAATGTCTGGTTCTGGCTGCAGCTGGTGCAGCTGCCCTCCCCTTCTGGCCCAGGAGGCAGTGGCCGGCCCAGAGAGGTCAAGGTGACTCTCCCAAAGTCAGGACAGTGGCTTTCGGTTAGAGCAGTTTGTGACAAACCCCAGCCGTGGGCCTCACTGAGGCTGAGGTGGGTCCCACCGTAAATCCCAGCAACATTCAATCGTAGGAAGTCAAGGGAGCCTTCTCACCAGCAACGCAGTAAACCGCAAGCACGTCACGGCGAGCTGCCTTGAGGGACCCTGAGGCCAGCAGGGCAGGGCTCTGCCCGTAAGGAGTCAGGGAACGTTTGCCTTGCTCCAGACGAGGCCAAAAGCTGGGTCCTAGCTTGAGGACAACGACCTGGGGTGTGGGGCCGGGCCTTGTGGCACAGCAGAATAAGCTGTCCCTTGGGACACTCACATCCCATACGGAGGCACTGGCCTGAGTCCCGGCTGTTCTACTTCTATCCAGCTCCCTGCTCATGCTCCAGGGAAGGCAGCAGACGGTGGCCCAAGTGCCTGGGTCCCTGCCACCCATGTGGGAGACCCCGACAGAGTTCCTGGCTCTTGGCTTCAGCCTGGCACAGACCCAGGTGTTGTGGCCATCTGGGGGGAGTGAACCAGCAGATGGAAGATTCTCTCTCTCTCTCTCTCTCTGCCTTTCAAATAAATCTCTTTTTAAATGACCCAGGACAGGAGTAAGAAAGACACCGAGGGGCCATGTGGGTATCTCCCTGCACCGGGCAAGGCCCGCCCCTGGGGAGATGTGCACAGGCCAAGCTGATCCAGGAGCTGGGTGGGGGAGAGGTGTGCCATGCAGCCGGGGGACCTGAGGGGCTCCTCCTCCAGTCCCAAGGCTCCTTGAGTGAGAGGCACCAGGAGCAGGGAGCTAAAGGAACAGAAGGAAACCTGACAGCCGAAGCCCAGGGTGCAGGCCTGGGGCCCCGGGAGTCAGCAGGAGGACAGGAGGGAGGGGGAGGTCTTACCGCCTCGGTGGGATGCAGGGTTCAGGCCTGCGGGGAGGCCAGGCGGGGCACACCCCACCACTGCAGCAGGTCCCTCTCTCCCCCTACCCAGCACGACCCCCAAGGGGGAGGCAACTTGGCAGCTCCTACAAATGCCACAGGACTCAGGTAGGACCTTCGTACACTTGACATCGCGGTGTGAAAAGTGGCAAGCTTTCAAGACGGAAAAACGATGCCGTGGGTGCCACCTAGTGGAGAGAGCTGCGCATTCCACCCTTTCCATGACAGACCAGGCCAGGTGGACCCTGGGACCACCCCCACCCTTCCAGCCAGGCATCTGAGCTGTGTTACATTGGGCATTAGTGCGGTGGTCTTCCCCCTGTGTCCTGAGGCTGTGGCCGGTGGCTCCCCTACCCCACACAGCCAATACATGGAGAGTGGGGGACGGGGAGGAGTAACTGCTTTGTGTTCCTGCAAACAACACGCATTGCTTGCTGAGCAGCTGGTGGGGGTAGAGGTGCCTTTTGTGTAGAGATGAGCAGGGCGCTTGGAACACTCAAGGGGGGAGGAAGAGGGGTTCGTGGGGGAGGGGGGAGGGGAGGTCTGGGTGAAGCAGGGGCAGGCAAGGCCATGGCCAGTGTTTGGATAACAACACTGATTATCAGAGGAGAAGGGCAGGA